AACCCAGGGACTTCACACTAAACTACACCCCCAGCCTTATTTATTTGTTTACTTATTTATAGGCATGGTCTAAGTTAATAAATTGTCCAGGCTGGACTTAAATTTATCATCCTCCTGCTTCAGCCTCCCAGAGTGCTAGGATTATAAGCATGTGTCCCTATGCATGGCTTATCTTGGAAATTATTATATATTTACTAGATCTGCCTAAAATTTTAAGTAACTATTATTAATTATAGGGATATTTTATAATTTAACTCCCCATTCATTTATGGCCATCAAAGTTGTTTTATACCTTTTGTTATACCAAAGCTACAATGACCATTACAAATGAGCCATTTTTCACATGCCCAAAGGTGTGCACACAGCAAATTTCTAGAAGTGAAACTGCTGATTCAAATAAATATCCCTTTACATTTTTTCATATATTGGTGCTTTCCATGCAGAAATGTTATGCAAAATTATTCCCCTCAGCAGTGTTTAGTCACATGTTCCCCAATACTATGAGAACACTTTTCTTGTACAGAACAAAAGAAAAAAGGGAACGATATACTTAATTTGCCTACACGTACTGAACAACCTTGTTCAACCTTGTTGAGGAATTATACAGTGGAATCAACACTTTTATTTCCTGAAACAGCTCTATTTTCTGATTGAAACTGTGAAATCTATATCCCTTTCCTTTCTTTCTCCTTTTTTTTTCTTTCTTTTCCTTCCTTCCTTCCTTCCTTCCTTTCTTTCTTCCTTTTTTTCTTTTTTCTTTTTGAGACAGTTTCACTATGCAGTTCAGGCTAGCCTTGAACTCACTTTGTAGCCTAGCCTGGCCTTGAACTCACAGCGACCCTGCCTCAGCCTCCCGAGTGCTGGGATTACGGGTATGCGCCATCACGCCCGGCTCTATTTCTTTTACTTTATACACAACCGACTTGCTTTTATTGTTGTTGTTGTTAATCGTTCCTCACACACGTCTGCAGTGCATTCTCACATTTATCACGGGGAAATTGTACATGTGCATAACACATCTTCATTATTTTTTCAGTCCGCTTTCCTTCCCATCGCTCCTTGCTTCTACTTCCTATTATCCATCTTTTACTTTGCTCTTTATTTATATTTTGGGTTTCTCATATAAGAGAAACCATGTGATATTTAAACTTGTGTGCCTGATTTATTTCACTTCACATTATGGTGTCGAAGTGCATCCATTTACTTATGAATACCTCAGATTTACTCTTCTTCAAGGCAGTGTAGTGCCGACCTACATTTTTATAGGACTGGCCGTGGAAGTTCATTCTGTTCTTCTGCGTGAAAGATCTGCCTGCTTTCAGAAGGCTAGCCTCTCACAACCTATGTCACTTTCTGACTGCACTGTTCCCAAGCGTCCACAATTGGCCCTGGCTGGTACGGGGAAGGCCCTCCCTGAGAGCTGCTTTTCCTAACAAAGAGAAACACACTGACTCCTCTTCCCTCTTCACTCCTTCCACCAATCTCATATTTTCCTTTGATTATTTAGCTTCCTAAAAACTTATTTCCTCCCAACACAGGCCTCTTCATTTCTAAGGCCACATCTATTTTGCCTTACTATTCTTATTTAGAGCTTGAAAGTACTGCAACTGACAAAAACTATTTGCATGTTAAAATAACTTTATATATACCATTCCGTCAGCCTTCCTTAGAGGTGGATAGAGAGAAGACTCTTTGGTTGCTAAATTCAGGTAGGTTTCTCGCTTAAATCATCAATAAAAATTGTTTTTATTAAATGATTCATAATGAAAGAAGCACCCCTCCCCACACACCTATAATACAAAATAGCACTAGACTCTGGCCTCTTCTGGGTGCACAGCTGACATATCCATTCCATTCATTCAAAAATATTTTGGCTGGCTTATCAAAGCAAGGCGTGCTGGAGAGGGAAAGATTCACGAGCACCAGTACCTTCTGACTTTCTCTCTCCCTTGATACAGATGGCGAGTCCTTTACTCTTACCGCAGCGGTGCCAGGAACACAGTAAGCGCTGACTGCTTCTTGAACGCAGCTAACGTACACGAAGATTCTTCGGAGATCCTCCCTTCGTCTCCCTCCAGATCTCGCGTTCTCACTGAGTACCACCGAACTCCGAGAGTGGAGAAAGATTAGGGAAGTCTTTGTTTAGCAATGCCTCCAAGATATTAACAAAGAGGTGGTAATTTAAAAGATCTCAAAGAGTAGTCCATAGCGGAGGTAAGTGCAGTCAAACCGAACTACCGAGAGGGGACCGCGGGACAGGGCACCCCGGCCGCGAGGGACGGGCCGCGCTCACCCGCAGGAAGGCGCGCAGGGGAAGCGGAACCGGCGCCGCTCACGCGCGCGGTCGTCCTCCCCCGCGGGCCGGGCGAGC